AGTCTCCGCAATGTCATCATTGCGGGGAGCGTCCGGACACGGCTCAGCACACCCTGGGTGAATGTCCCACATTCGCGTGGGAGACACACGCCCTCCAGTGCGAGGTGGGTAGTGATCCGTTCCCGGGAGGAATCGTTCGGGCCATGTTAAACTCGGCCATCAAGTGGGAGGCCGTCATCAAATTCTGCGATACAGTGGTCTTAAAGAAGGAGGTAGCGGAACGCGACAGGGAACGTCGAGGTGCTTGGCGGATCGTGAGGATGGTTCGACCCGAGAGAGGAAGAGGTCGCCGGTCGCGCGCGGTTAGACCGACTTCACCGCACACGGGTACAGGCGGTAGGGGGCAACGCGATTTCACCGTGTCCTCCGTGGCTCCTCGGNNGGAGAGTCACTTTATCGTTAATTAGGCGGTAGGGGCGCTCGAGCGCTATTCGCGAGGCATAGCGACCCCATTCGGGAGAGCCGGTCTCTGAACACACTGGGTCGCTCGGCCGCACTGGCCTTAGACGGGGTATCCGAGGTTCATTATTGCACGCGGCCAAGGGGTGAGACGTTGGCAGGTATGGAGATGTCAACGGCTTGAAAAGGGCGATGGGAAGGGGTTGTTGTTCGGTCGGATGTTTTTACGAGAAACACTCCCGCTACAGTTGGAACGGAGGCTTAGCGGGGGCGAGTGGAGGGTCATTGGTCCCGGTACCTTCATTCGGTTAACTCGCGATGAGGGCTCCATGGTTAGGTTTCAGCCGGTAGGAATCCAGCGAAAATTAACACTAAAAATATGGATCGTTTAATAAATGATTCAGACAGTAAGCAGTATTTTACGACAGATGAAGAAGAGTTTAATAAAGAAAGTAGTTGGAGTGTGGATTGAGGGGAAATTGTTAACTCATCCGAAATTAATCAGCAGGATAATGGTGATGTCGATTTCCAGCTACCAACTGCAGTATCAAAAGATGGGTAAAATGATGGTCATACATGTCAGTCGATTAGAACTATTGGGAGGACATTCAGTTGTCCTACTGATGATGCGGGAACTAGTTATCCTGGAGAAAGGAATAAGGAGTTCATACTCAGAGAACAGAATGAACATTTAGTTGTTCCAATGGTGATGGGGGAAGGAATTATCTCGGAGGAATGGTTGAGTGGTTCTTTCTCGGTGAATGGACAGATATGTTCTGTCAAGGAACTAGATATTCCGGAGGAATGGTTGAAGAGGGCTTTTTCCCCGGTAGAAAATGAAGTGGATGTAGAGAAACAGACACCACGGTTCAAATTCATTCGAAAACTATAAATCATAAAAATTTTTAAGTATTTACTGCAGATGTATTACAGATACTGTTTCTCAGAAAGGGTGAAACAAGACGGCAACAAACAAGATGGCGCGGACACATGGCGCACTTTTCAAATGGCAAGCGGAGAGATGGAAGCAAGAAGACAATGAGGAGGAGAAGAGGAAGAGACGAGGCGACACGGAACAAGTAAAAGGAAGGAATTAATAAATAAATAAACGAAGTGAACGAGATGGACTAATGGATTAATAAACAGTTAAGTGTGAAATTAATAGTGAAGTGATTAATAGGTTAATAAATAAATAATAAATAATAAATAATTAATAGATGGTCAATTAATTCGGTGTAGTGTTGGGAAAATGGTGTGGAAGTGCAGTGAAGTACTGTAAGGGCCGTGGATACAGGGAAATACACGTGACCACGTGCGCGCGTGCAGAGGAAGCAGTGCAAAGCGGAAAATAGCGGAAAAGCGGCGGAAGAGCAGTGGAAAGCGCTCCAGCACCCTGGAAAACCCCGAAAATCACAACGATGACTTTTATGGCCAATATCGTTAAAAAAAAAGGGTCTGAGCGCTTAACGGCCCCAGGAAACAAAATTAAAAAAAACCATATGGATCGTGTAGCCTGCTTCGAGTAGACTACACGTACCCATGTTTGGCGTTCCAAATCACCGTCGTCACTCCAGAAGAGGAGGAAATGTCTCCCGAGCGGTCGAAGTACATCGGACATACGGCGACTTGAAATGCTCATATCTCACCCACGTTTAGGGCTACAGAGCTAATCGAGTGTTCTTTGGAAAGCTGGAGAAACGTACTTTCTGATGCGTGTATCAAGTATTAAGAAAGTAGCGATGAAGATGCTACCGAGTGGAGGAACTGAAATTCATTGATTGCACACAAATGCATTCGTCGGACCACTCTAGCTACACGCTCAATGTGTGCCCCCCTTCGAGGCAAACAAAATGCGATATCCCAATCAAAAATCCATTGGGGGCCCGATACTTTAATTTCGAAAAAACAGTAGATGGTCGCGCCCGATTTTATACATTTCGCACACCTACCTCCATATAAGCATGAGAAAGCCGTTCTGGAAGCACTTAAGCCTCGCTCTCACTTCCTTCTGCTTCCGTTTCTTCTCTGGATGGTACGAAGAGCTCCGTTAACTGCGCAGCCGGGCGCAGAATCTGCGGGAGGTACCGAGCATGGACCAAGTAGAAGATGGCAGCGGCCACATGTGAGCAGCAGCCTACTGTCCGGTTTCCATTCGGGCACTCACACCAATATCGCCGAATTCCTTCAATCTGGTCCATTTTCAGTTCGTAATCAATGTAGAGCCGGTAAGTTTTTGCGTTCACGTGTCGCGACTTGATTTCTAAACGAATGATGTTTGGTGTTTCTTTTATGAACATCATGGAGACGTTGTTGGTGTCGGCTTCCATCAATTCCGCTAAATACGACTGTGCTAGATCGATTTGGTATGGGCCCGAGGTCAGTAGGAGTAAGTGGTCTTGAGTCAGTTTCGGGAAATCGGTCAGGGTGGTGGCCGAAATCCGTTGTAGAAGTGTGTTTCTACGACTCCACCTCTCTCGTTCCACCTGCTCTCCAAGGGTGTTTGGTTCTCCCATGCGTCGCTGCATGCGATCAATGACCTCTGAAGACATGTGAGCGTCTTCCCACGATCGCTGGCCGTATTTGTTTTCCAAATAACCAACAATGCGACAGAGCGAACGCACTTTGGGGAGCGCTCTATTGTCGAGGGTATGGTGCAGCATTTTATACCGCTGAGCGATGCGACCATGCACAGCTTCAACAATCCAACGGAGCTTCGTAACAAGTCGAGAGAAGTTGGCCTCTTCGCAAG